AGCTCGCTTAAATCACGGACTTCTTCCTAAAACTTGGGAGCTGATTGGCCGATTGCGGCACACAGGGATTTGCGCCACGGAGGGATGGACGTTAGGTTTGTTGTAGTAGTACTAGTGACGCTGCATATACTGGCAGTAAGAGGAACACCATAATTAATTCTTTTATACTCAAAAGTGGAAGAAGTAGACCGAACGCGCCTTCAGCCACCCATAGCAAGATGATGGCTCGCTCAGTACGACTGCTTCCACCGCGAGAGAACCAATGCGAGAGCCATCCGAGGACGACGATGAGAAGACTAAGGATGAAACATCCAAGAAGAAACTCGAGAACCATCATGACTCCGGCATGGCCCCTTCCCCTTGGTTGTTTGCCCTTATCTTTATCTTCGCGGATAAAAGGAGAACAGTTTGGGACGTATATCGTGACTCTTCGATTTTTATACAAGGCGCCATTCTCCGGGTTTGCGTTTAATCCATTGACGGTCAGACTCCCGTACAGCATCTTGATGAGTGTTGTCCAGCTCTCGGTGCCAGTCCGATCCTGCTTGACTTGTTCAACGGATGCAATGAGCCGTAGTCGAATTGGATCGAGCGATTGGAAGAGTCCAGAGTAAAAAGCGTTGAGAAGCTCAACCATGGAACTTTTGAGTTGATTGGATGTGTTGGATGCATGTGAGCCATCTTCAGAAATACGCGATGAGATTTCTCTGGGGTTGCTTCGACCAAGTAGTAGTTTTGGATCGAACCATGGGGTCGTGCGGAATCCTTGGATACGATACCTCTGACCCCTTGAGCTTGGTAAAGTTGTTTTAGGTTCTGGAGGAGAGCCGACTGAATCGCTGTGGAGGGGTATGTCTGCAGCGAGCTGTGGGTGATTTTGATAGATACTTAGAACGTCCAGTTCGGTTCTCTCGTTAATTGCAAGAATAATCGAGTTCTCATTTCTGACAGGTACTAGAGAATTATGCTCCAATTCGATATTGGAACTCTCATGCAACATATTGGTGGCAGGTTGGTGATTTTGCTGGTCATCCTCGGTAGTACTCCCAGATTGAGGATGATTGATCTCCACTTGTTCCTCACATATAAGGTGAACATGTGAGATCTCGCGAACCTTGCGCTCAGGCGCCTCAAAATTTGCCCAGGCTAGGCCGAAAAGCTTGTTGCTTAGCCATTCCCCAGACAAGATGCTTGCGGCCCGCCGAATATGCTTCTGCGTAAGACCTGTCCAAACTGAGATATCTTTCGTCGAGACGTCTGGTGATAGGGGCCCCGTGTATTCTTCCAAAGCTGCCACGGTCCCCTTGAACCTGCTACCTCTATTTCGTGCTTCCCTCATCACCGCTGATTCAACCATATATAGACAAGCGTAGTCTGCTGTAAGTGCATTACTAGTGAAGTTGACCACAGTCATGACTAAGTATGGAACCACGGTCAATTGGAATGATGCATATCCCCACCGCTCTATAGTATCAGGTTTGCGTAAAAGGATGATGCTCAGTGCACCTAGGATTTGGATCAGCGATGCGATTGCTTTCGCTACGCTGTAACTCGAACTGATATCACTATTGACGTCGGGTGTACTGCCATTCTCTTGTGTAGGTATCAACGTATCCCCCGAACCGGGCTCAGAGCTATTTACGTTGTTGACACTTTGATTCGTTGCGGTAATGCCAGCCGTCGATATAGATTGGGCGTCTGCTCTATTATCGTCTAGGCTTGGTGTAGAACTCGAGTCGCGATTCAAAATGGCCTCAGCCCCAGGGGGTTGGCTTATATCCGCAGAAGCAGGCGAAGTATTATCCATACGTGGTTCCAATGGCCTGGAATCAATGCGATCAATCTCCGACAAGCAAGCATTGCGTGGTACTATAGCAAATGAGTACCCTTCCGATAGAAAGTATGTACCATGTATTCTGATCAAGTCTGGATCCACATAAGCTCGGGAGCCAATGGTATCAAAGTAGGCCCAAGCTGATGAGTCCTCTCGCGCATATGTAGGGAAGTAGTTCACCATCTTTGCATCGATGATGTCTGAAGTGACGTTACTCTCTTCATCGGACTGGCTTCGTTGCTCAAGGACCGCTGCAAGAGTATCTCCAGGGCTGGGCCTCCATTCCGGGTTTCTCACAACCATGCAAAGAGCACCTGCTCTACAAGCGTTCTTGAGTTCAGAACCTCCGAATCGTGCGCCGCGAGCAATTGCATTTAGTGCGCGCAAAAGCCCAAACATCGGGAAACATAATGCCATGAAAGTGTTGAACGCTATACTGACTGTTCCCTCGCCGGGTGTTGATTTGACTGTTGCTGCGTGGGCAATATAGCTCGTGGCGAAGAAAGTGATGACCAACAGCGTGTCTCTCCAGGGAGGCCCTCGAACACAAAAGATACGACTACTGCCATGTTGTGTTGCACTCAGTGGTACTTCTATCGTCAGGTTTTTCAGTTGCATAGTTCCTAGCAGCCGCGAAACGAAATGAGAGGGTCGAGTGTTGCTTTCTGGGTTTGCTCCAAAAGATGAGGGATATTGTGCCACGATACAAGATTGAGCTCAAAAGGCTAAGGGGCGAGCCCCAGTCAAGTTGGTAGAATTGAGTTGAGATCAAATCGCTGCAATGGAATATGATTGAAGAAGAAGTTTATCTACTCCGAAAAGAAATCCCAATATATATCCGTAGTCTGATCACGCGATACTGCATCAAAATATGGAGGACAAGAAAAGGCAACCAGATTGGACATGTGATACTATTAGGAGGGGGCTATGAAGCTCAGCCCAACTCAGCTGCATGTGGCTGATTGCACAGCCCGCAGTATAGCGGGAGAAGGCTGAAGGCGAATTCTCAATTGAACCAACTAGCAAAAAGGCCGGCCAACTTGTACTAGCCTAGACCTTGTGGTGGCTATTACAATCGCTAGTACATGTTTTTCTTGATTCGGGGTTAAACTAGAATCTCCCACTGCGCCACCACTACTTTACGGCTGTGAACTCTAGGAAAAGTTCAAGGCCCTCAGCCTCCTCAACAACTCCACTATTATCATATTCGGATTGTATGACGAACTTACACTTACACCAATCAACGCATTGTCATTGCACAGCTGATTGATAGTATCTCTAAGACATTTTGTGGCATACGACTCAGAATTTCACGCTCAACTAAAGTCTTATTTTGACTTGTTAGCGGCGAAACCTCATGGTAGAATACAGTACAAAGATAGCAAATACAACATACAGGCTTTAGTAAAGAGTCTCTTTATCTAGCTCTAGCTTGAACATCTATGCTTCGTAACACTAATCGTCTTGAAGCTCCGATTAGAGAGGTTCACTCTCATTTTCGTCCTAAAACAATAGCTTCAGCACCGCGATTAACTTTGGCGACGATACGTTTGGTATGTCGTTAACCTCATACACGTAGGTTTCTGGATGCCCAGTCAATCTCACATGACGGAATACCCTCGATTAAGCATGAACGTTAATCTTTGATATTGTTTACTACATCCAGGTCTAAGACAGTTCAGGCGTTACTTTTGATTCTTTGGTAACATAGAGTGACTGATTGGCGTTTCACCCACGTGATCATCCACAACCCCAACGAGCAAAGCCCTCAGTACTCGTACCGAAGCTTCCCTGTTACAACAGGGCGCGATCTACTAATCATAGCTAATGCAAGATGACCCCGCATGTCTTACTCATGTACTGGCGGGTATTTTATTACACAGACTAAGTGCGCAGATATTATTCTTGAATCCGATTTAGAATCAGGAGCAGTTGTAGTGTGACATGACCTGGTGTTTATTTAATCAACTAACACGCTTCTGAAGGAACGCGCATTTTCTATTGAAATATCTCAGCACTATAGTCTAACATCATTGCAGTATCCCAAGTTATGTCTAGAACTCTAACCGTGCACTCTCGTTAGCTTAATTCCCCAATTTCTCAGCGATAATCTTCTCAGACAACTTCCACAGCCTCTCAGCCTTGTTCTTATCCACCCCCCACGCAACCGGCTCCGCAAGATGATTATCCTCCAACCACACTCCCTTCTCAGGATTCAATCCAGGATCTGTAGCCGCAAGCAAAGTGGTCGAACTCCCCTGGTCAATGGTCTTTGTAAATAGCTTGTCATATGCCGGCACATCCTTTATTATCGCCAATGCCGCTGAACTTCTCACCCTTCCAGGATGAAGCGAGAACGAAAAGATGCCCTCCTTAGCAAATAACGTGTTGAGGTGGACCGCGAAAAGCAAAGCGGCGGTCTTGCTCTGCCCGTATGCAACGAAGGCATCGAATTTATCGGTTGCGGGGACTCCTATCGCATTGGTGATCACGTCCCAGTTGGGCTTCTCGTCGTCGGGGATTTCCTTGTCGAGGTCGAAGTTCCAGTCGCTGAAGCGGAAGGGGCTGAAGGTGGAGGCCTCACTGCCCACAGGAATGATGCGAGTCGCGCCAGGAGGGTTTACCTTGGCGGCGGCAAGTAGCCGTGGGAGGAGCATCTTGGTGAAGAGAAAGTGGCCCAAGTAGTTGGCGGCAAGATGCGTCTCGATGCCGTCGACTGTGAGTGCACGCTCGGTATTTCCGAATTGGCTGCCAGCGTTTTCGACGAGAATGTCGATTTTCTCGATGGATTTGTCATTGAGGATCTCGTTTGCGGCGCGCTCGACGTCTTTGAGGGAGGCGAGATCGAGAACGATATTGACGAACTTTGTAGATGGATAATCTGCGGAGATTTCTTTGGTCAGGGTTTCGACTCGGGCTTTGCTGCGCCCAGTTGCGATGATAAGAGATGCACCTCCGTGGGCAAATGCGCGAGCAGTAGCCTCGCCAATGCCTCCAGGAGAGACACCAGTAATGAGAATCGTTTTGCCAGTGATTTGGGACGAGTAGGCTTTGGCGATTTCCAAACCGCCGGTCTCTGCGGTGAAAGACTTGCTGGTAGCCATGGTTATCTATTCGATAGATGCAGGATAATTGATAGATGTAGGAAGCTATTGAAATGAGTTTTCTTTTCCTGAATGGTAGTGAATTGATGATGTTGGTATGATTCTTGTGGAAAAAGTTCCATATCCTTTATATAGGTGCGTTGATTCCCGAGATACCCAGCTGGATCCATGACACAATCCAATCATTGGGATGAGAAGTCCGTCTTCACCGTGTATTCTGACCATATTGCACCGAATGTCAGTAGTATGAAACGCATATTGACGTTGCCCAGTGTAGAAACCCTAAACCACTTGGAAGTCTGCTTACAAATCTTGAAAGATTAATAATAGTTCAGCCTGATTGATTTCCCGTTACTTTTTTGACGAAGAATTGCACATTGGAAAACGGGCCGAATATTTGCACGTAAGGAAAACGGACGAAAATTGACGCATGAGAAAACTCCGAAATAGAGGCAGGTACCCGCGTCGCATGAGGAACTTCCTATGTCAATCCTCACACCCTATGCGCCAAGAGTATACTCTAAATCACATGAAAGCCAAACTTGTCGAGGTCGACCGATCATGACGAACGTATCTGGTAAGGTGACTACTAACGTTAATTTTTTTGGGTAAGTAATTGATCAATCAACATGACTTAGTATCAACTCAGATAATGATTACTGCAAGACAAATATCTACATGTCTCTTAAGGTGCGAAGCTGCCTTTCAAAAGTATTATCTAATACTAATCTTGGTGCTTCAGTGCACCTCTTTTTAGCGTAACCTGGCTCAGCTGCACTTAGGCAATCACGTGCCTAAAAAGGTACACTATACTGCGTAGCAGTATCTGAGAGCCGAATAGCTACATACGTGTGGCAGTAGACTAGTCGTTGTAAGTTAAAATAGGGATCACTGGAAGAGATTTGTTGGTGGCAGTGATAAATCAGGCGTCCTGTCGCACAGTGTGTTCTGCGGCGCAAGGACGGATGGTATTGAAATATATTTTATCTTTCTTAGCGCTAGCTCGGCATGAGTGTGTTAAGCCTGAAGAGGTAGTAATTGTAGTACGAGGCACGGATCCCCATGTATCTACCGCGCACTAACGCAAATACACCATCCAGCCTACCACCGAAAGAACTACAAGCACCGCCAGGCTCTACTTCGGTTTCAGTATGAACACTAGCGACAACCATAATTATTCAGCATTTGCAGATCTTCTGGCAGAATCTTCGCGTGTTCTATGCCTCGTCGGTGCTGGACTCAGTGCACCATCTGGCCTGGCCACCTGGCGTGGAACAAACGGGCTATGGAACGACATCAATGTGAAAGAACTTGCTTCACCCAAAAAGTTTCGAGAAGATCCAATTACAGTGTGGAGATTCTATGGCGAGCGATTACTCGAGGCGTTGGAAGCGAGGCCGAATGCTGCACATCATGCGTTGGCGGCGCTGGCTGATTGGCATCAAGGATGGCTTACTATCAATCAGAACGTTGATGGTACGGAAAGTAGCGTAGAAGAATGATACGACTGGTGCGCTAATGGCAATTCAGGGCTTCTCGAGCAAACTGGTCATCCCATGTCAAGGTTGCTGAACGTTCACGGTACATTAAAGACTGTTCGATGTACTGCATGCAATTACTCTATCGACGTTCATAAGCCAGAAGACGTCCCATTTCTTCTTTCGTTATCCAATACTGACCACAAAGCACGTCCAGTTGCGCTATCCGACCTTCCACATTGCCCCCAATGTGCAAATCTCTTGCGCCCAAGAGTGGTTTGGTTTGGCGAAAGGCTTGCTGCTGGCGCACCAGACAATGTTGATGAGTGGATGTCAGAAGAATACATTGATTTGGTGATTACGGCTGGGACTAGCTTGCAAGTTTTCCCAGCTGCAGAGTGGGTGAGCACTGCACGAGCAGATGGAGCATCCTTGGCTATTATTGATACGGAAGACTACGAAACAGTGGATGGCTTTGATGAAGGGGACTGGCTCTTCAAAGGAGATATCGCATTTACGCTACCTAAAATAGTCGATATTCTCAATTCATGAATGATGTGTAGTACACTGATCTTTCTTTAGATAGAGAAGTTACACAAAAGAAAAGATTTACATCCAGAAATTAGGGCGTAATCATAACATATTCAGAAGCATAAAACAAAAGAAAAATTGTTGTTTTCATCTCCGTCTCTCAATCCAACCCCCTCCAACTCATCTTCCTCAACTTCGGCCCATAGAACCACAACCCAACAGGCCCCACCAAACCCAACCCCAACGTCAAAAACGCCAACAAACTATTCCCCCACCCCAACCCCATGCTTTCATACATCTGCGGCGCAAAGAGCGGAAAGCTAAACCCGCACATGGTCCGCATAAACGCACCCACGCTCGCCGCCGACGCCGCATACCGCGCTTCATACGCATCCGTCGTATACGCCTGAGAGCACTGAAACCCAATGATGAGACCCACAGCAGTGATGGCAGCACCGACGTTCGGCACGATCCAATGGACATGGTAGTGTGCTGTCCAGCCGTATATGAAGAGTCCGATAGGACACAAAATGCCTGCGATGAGCATGGGTGGGACGCGGAATTCAGGGAGGCCTTCGGTGAGGTTGTAGTAGGATTTCATACGAGCGTACAACTGATCCGTTTTGTTAGCACTTGCTTCAGCCCACGAATTTTAGAAGAGAAGGAGAGAGGGGAAACATACCCCATCCATAAGCGGATGCGAAATCTGCAATCCTACCATAAACCCCAAACACAACGATAGGTAGTTCAATGATGCGTTGCCAACACTCATACCATACGCCTCCTCAAACACCATCGGAAACGTCGACAGCATGAGATACATAACCCCATACAAAAACGCCCGATACGTCGATGGCGCCTGCGTCGCCGGATGCGTAAACATCATTATAAACGGGAGCACCAACCTCTTCCTCAGAATCCTACTCATTCGATCTCCCGTCTCGAACTCCGTGCGCACAATCACCGCTCCATCCGCCATATCCTTTCTCATAGCCTTCGCCTTTTTAGCAAGGATCGCCGGCGCAAAAGTCTCAGCGAGGAAGAACACGGCGGTAAGCTGCACAAAGACGGTGAATATGGACGTAGCGAAGAAGATCCAGCGCCAGCTCACCCCCGTCGAAATGTACGCGCCGCAGATAGGTGCGATACAGGGAGCGAGCCAGGTCAGGATACCGTAAATAGCCTGACCCTTTCCGCGTTCTTCTTTGCTCCACGTATCTGCTAAGACGCCGCTGCATAACTTCCCTACACATCAGCAAAGTCCGTACATCTAACACTGTCGTCTGTGGCGCGGGAAGAGGTGAAAAAAAGAAGTGGCTTACAGCCTGTGGTGCTGCACCCCCAAGTCCACTCAAGAACCGGAATGCGAGCATCTGCGGCCCGGACTGTGCGAAGCCGCAGCAGGTGTTGAAGACGAGGTAGATGAGGTTTGCGTATTGAAGCACTGTGACGCGCCCGTAGATTTCGCTTAAGGGCGCGAGTATGAAGGGACCTTGGGCGTAGCCTAGCAGGAAGATGGTCATAATGAGTTGGCGCTTGAAACCTTCTTTTATGTTGAATTGCTTGCCGATGGCAGGTAGCGCGGGGGTTACTATTGTGGAGGAGAAGGGAGAGATGAAGGTGAAGAGGGAGACGAGGATGGTGGTTATCCATTTTTGTCGGTTGGGCCAGTTTAGAGGGTTGGAGGGGTCGTTGGGGCTGGCCCAGGTGACCTGTGATGGTCAATCAGTAATTGTGTGTGTGTGTGAGACTGGTAGATAGGTTAACGTACAATAACCTCTCTACGTTTAATGTTGTTCTCCTCCTCGATCAGATGGCCGGCTTCGTATCGTGTGTCCTGGGCATCGTACTGATTCCACTGTTGGAACAACCGCTCAGTGCTTAGGATCGAATGGTCACTACGTTCAAAAGACCATCTAGGCAAGACAGGGGCTTCTTGTGAGTTGTCTAAATCGACAGAAGGCCTTCTGAGTAGCTTTTCTTTGAGTTCCATGACTAATAGTAGTAGCGAGCGACAAGGTGAAACGAATGTCGGGACGGTGTGGAGATGATGGGCAGGGTCTACGAATGTGATACCACCTGCTCAGCATCTAATAAACGTTCATCCCGCCTAATCCATCTCACAACTATTTCATTACAATATAAATTTTGAGGCAGTGTAGCAAGGGCATGTCGCCGTTCCCCTGTACAGCAACAGCCACATACGTCCCAAAGTTGACCGAAAAGCCAGCAAAGACCCCCCCTTAGCCCGAATGCCAGCACTTCAGACAAATGCATTAGCCATGATTAGTGCCAGAAAACCTCAGGCTGTGTAGTATAGGGTAGACAAAATTTAAGAATAGAAACATGTCGCGTGAGCGTACAATAGCCAACAAGGGTATTCAAGTCACTAACAGCCAATCGTAATGCAGCGGATACTCCCACAAGACGGGAGAAGGCGGCAGGTATGTCGTGACAGCCTCAGGGGAGGACGTCAGCGATACGGGCTGTGTTTAACTACCCGTGCCAAGAAGGTACATCTTGGTAGTTTCGCTAAGTTGCTTGGTGAAGACACGTGAGCTTACTGTCATTGGCCCGACGACTATGGTCAAGAAATAAAACTGGAGATGTCAAGGACACTGGTGCGTAGGCCAATGCAAGATAGAAGACAAGACTACCACTGAGAGGCCAAAGCATCATCGTAAGGTAGTCTTATGATCTTGGTCAAAGGGCTATGTTGTAGTCGTCATGCCCTGGCTGTGCTACTTGTGCTAACCTGCCTTGAAAGCTATGGGACGAAATTGCGGTTTCTAAACCAAAGCGCAAATTAGTCCGATCTGAGCTGGCGATGCTGTGCTGGTCTCGAGGCTTGAACCAATTCCTTAGGCGTTGGTCGTGTGGTGTGGTGCACCAGGAATAGGACCAGCCTGTGGCCTGCATCTTATGATTTGAGAAGTTGCAACTTCAGACGAGCAAGACTTGAGACACAAGGTATAAGTAAGCCGTGGGCCAGACGATGAGATGATGTCAAGCATCTGATATTCAATTCACTCGCTCAATATCCACGCACTTCAACTCTCTTTCCACAATAACACTTGCACGATACCCTTTTTCTGTTAGCAATATCCCAATTACTCAGTTCCTAATTCCTTACTACTCCAAAAAATGATTATGAGTCCTCCTGTATCTATGGAGCCCTTCGCTCACGCTAGCTCACCAGCAATTACGAGGCGTCTATCTCAAATGGCGCCTCTCCGCTCGCTCAAGACATTCAACTTACCACCAGAGGAAGGAGACGAAATAGTGCACCCCGCCTCAGCCGTGTCACAGACTCCCACTTCAGAGATCTTAGAAGGGCACCCACTCCGTGTCCTGATAGCACCGTCAGGTTTCAAGGAGAGTTTGGGCCCAGAACAGGTTGCTGATGCCATCGAAGCCGGCATCGCCAAGGTCCTAGACAAGGGGTCTGTCATACTGCGCAAGCTACCTCTGCATGATGGTGGAGAAGGTTTTGCAAAGGCACTAGTGGCGACTCATAATGGAAGCATCATTGAGGAGTCAGTCTTGGGTCCTGTCGGCGAGCCTGTCGAATCTCACATAGGCTTCATCGGTACCAATAAGGAGACGGCCGTATTAGACATGGCCGCTGCAGCAGGCCTCCGTCTTGTCCCCAAGCATTTGCGCGACCCGACTGTAACTACTACTTTTGGTGTCGGACAGTTGATGAAAGTAGCATTTGATGCAGGATGCACCAAGATCATTATTGGGTGTGGAGACTCGGGCACATCTGATGGCGGAGCTGGCATGCTCCAGGCGCTTGGTGTTCGTCTTATAGATGTAGACGGCAAGGACTTGCCCATGGCAGGTGGTGGTCGTTCCTTGTCCCGTCTAGCCAGCCTGGACTGGCGCGGTATCCATCCTCGTTTGCGTGAAGATTCCCGTAAGCACATACTCCAACCCCTGAACAAGAATCTCACAACTAACTCAGTAATAGCCGAGAAGGTTCATATAGAGGCTGTGTGCAATGTCAAGAATGTGCTTTGCGGTCCTAAGGGTGTCGCGCGAGTTTACGGGCCGCAAAAGGGCGCTACACCTGCTCAAGTCGACTTGCTGGCAGCAGCACTCGAGCGATTAGCCCGAGTAACTCATACAAAACTGGGAAAGGATATTTCCCATAGCCCAGGGAGTGGTGCAAGTGGCGGCCTTGGAGCAGCCTTGATGCTGCTTGGCGCTCAGCTTCGTGCTCGTGGCGAGGCTATCAACGAGTATTTTGAAATTGATCGTGTTCTGGATCAGCAATGGGACTTTGTTGTTACTGCCGAGGGAAGCCTGGACTTCCAGTCACCAAATGGGAAGGTTGGTCGACTTCATTCTTGTTGTTTTCGGAAACTGCCTAACAGCATTAGATGACGACAGAGATCGCCCGCCGGGCAAGGCGGAACGGTGCGCAGGTGGTCGCATTGGCTGGCACGATTGGAGAAGGGGCAGACGGCTGCTACGGTGCTGGCATCAAAGCATTCACAAGTATTCTCAGAGGTCCCTTGTCGCTGGATGAGGCAATTGTGCAGACGGAGGCTTTGGTCAAGGATGGTGCTGAGAAGGTGATGCGCATGATACTGGTGGGATTGGCCCTGGGGCGAGGTCGGTGAGGAAGGTGTCCTTGGTGCACTGCCATGATCAAGGGTGTTGGCGCCTTGGTATGATGGAGATTCGATGACGTGTCGCGTTTTGTTACCAGTACTCTGTATTTCTTTCCATGTTTGATTGATGCAAGTCTGGTTGCGTAAACAGGAAGTGTGTGGTTAGAAAGATGCCCCGTATTTTTGTTTAAACCGATTCATACTACTAGCTTCAGCCCCATATCACAACAAGTCTGCGCAGCAGCGAAATTATTGCCCTGTCGGTTTAGACCGCATTTATGTATATCTGTATGTGCATAATGATGTGAAGTTAGTCGCTATACCCCGCCCATGTTTTTTAGATGCGCCACTATACTATCCAATCTTGCGGGCTCTTCAGGCCTTTCTGTACATCAACGCCCTCCGTCTCCCTCGCCTTCTCATTCACGCTCTCCATTTCAAATCCTGCAACCTTCTTGTATACTCTGCCGATTTCCTCGAGTTCGTCCTTGGGAATAACATCGTAGACATTCTTGAATCCATCTGGCGCTCTTTCCTCCGCTAGCTGCAGCACGTGATCTGGGCCATTGGCTCGGTTCGCCATGACAATCTTGGATGTTGGTGGAAGTCGTTCAAGTTCGTAAGCCTTGAGCGCGCCCTGAACGTCCGAGGTGTTGGATGAAAGGTGTTTGGCAAGTGTCTCGGCGTCAATGATGGCTTGGGACGCGCCGTTGGAGCCAATGGGGTACATGGCGTGTGCTGCGTCGCCGAGAAGTGTGAGGCGGCCAAAAGACCATGCCTCAACTGGATCGCGGTCTGACATGGGAAACTCGAACACCTTCTCCGTGTTGTCGATGAGATCCTTCATTTCTAGACCTCCACATCTCCATGACTCGAATGGCCCTGCGAAGACATCCTTTTTCACGGCTTTGGTCCAATCAGTCTTGGGTGGTGTCAGATCCACATCGTCTTTGGCGCGTATTCTAAGCTCCGCAATCCAGTTGACCATACTCTTGCCCTTATCGGCGGACCTTTGACTGATCGGATACGCAATGAACTTTTGATCAGCATGACCTGCCCAAACCATGCTCGCCCCTGTTAAGTACTGGTCGCGCTCGATGCACCCACGCCACAGCATGCGTCCAGAGAACCGGGGTGGTCCCTCATTGGGGTAAAGTATCTTTCGCGCTGTCGAGTTGATACCATCTGCAGCGATCAAAACGTCGCCAGTCACACTCGACATTTCCGCTGGTTCTCCGTCTCTTCTGCGCGAAAAGCGCGCGGTGATACTGTTGTCGTTCTGATCAAAGGCCGTAAATGCATGATTGAGATGAAGCACATCTTCTCCAAGACGCTCTTTCACTGCACTCAGAAGTAGCATCTGAAATTCTCCGCGATGAATCGAGAACTGCGGGACCATGTACCCTGCGTTACGGCCTCTGGGCTCGCTAAGGATAGAGTCTCCATGTCGGTTGTAAAAGTTCAGCTCTTGTGTTTTGATGCCTGTTTTCTCCAAGGCCTCTAGAAGACCTAGGTTGCGCAATATTAAGACAGCAGAAGGCTGCACATTGATTCCGACACCTAGTGTTGTGAGGGTCGACGACGCTTCAAAGATCTGAATGTTGTTGAAGCCGGCGGAATGGAGCGCTAACGCTGTTGTTAGACCGCCGATACCGGCGCCTGCAATGAGGATTTTCGGTTGCGTCCCTGAGTGCAGAAAAGGCATGGTATCAAGGTGATCTAACAAAGTATGTATAAAGAATGGGTAAAGATGGTGTCAAGGTCAAACAAGTCAGCAATGGGTTACGTTCGAATGACTCCCGCCGTGTGCGGAGCTTGCTAGTTACGAACTTTTTTACTGCCGACGTTAGGTGCCGCGGCTGAATTCCTAGTGCAGCGTAATACGGGCTGGAATTCACTCCGATGCGGAGGTAATTTACAGTTATTGGTTCCGTCCGGTCTTACATTCTGCATTTTGTGGAGTGTGGGGAAATAAAAACGTTTTCGAGTGACCAGTGGGGCGGAGCAGAAGCCGAGATTGCCCTGTGGTTGCAGTTTACGGTGTATGACTGCTCAATGTCCATACTATTTTTAGTGAATAAAGTAAATGGCAGAGGTGCGACGTTCGAGAATGCAACTTGTCTGAAACTATTCATACATTAATCTAACCCACCCTAATGACCTGCTTTAAAGCCTCGAGACGCCCAAACAATCTTAGCCAGGATTATTTGCAGAGACTAAGGAGCGTAGTCCTCGTTGCCCTCTCGGTCAACTCGAACATATTTGACCTTGTCCATACCGTGCGTGAAGCGGAAGTGACCTGTAGATGGGCACTTAGCGTTGCTCCATGGTATCTGGTTAAGGCATTTACTCACATTTGTCTGCAAACGAGCAGTACCCTGTTTCGCGTTCCTGAGGACACTGGTGTCCCAGATCTAGGATGACACTCTTAGTATGATTGAAAAGGCGACTAAGAAGCCATTGAAGCCGCTTGGTACTGGCGCAATACTTACAACAGTCGATGTCTTCGCAATATCTGTTCTTACAAGGCAAGGTGCGTGCTTTATGACGTAAAACATTCAACTCAGCCGGTGGTAGCTTGGGTTCGTGCTGGAAATGGCAAAATTTTCCATTTTCACACTTCCCATGGAGGTGCCTGCATGTTGTGTTAGCATTACACACGCGGCTGGCGTATTACATCGCGTCTAGTACATACCAGTTGTTACACAAATTCTTGCGTAGCTTCTTCATACGCGCATCGAGCGAAACGATAGCCGCGGCATCTTTTGGAGGAAGCGCCTCGTCTAATCTTTGCTCCCCTTTGTTATAATAAGCAAATTTCTTCTTAGTATTCTTCTTATTATTATTAGGTGCGATCGAGACACTGCCCGTTGGCGGAGCGCCAGTCTTGCCTACAGTGGCTACGATGTATATGTCAGCATTGTTATTTTTCCTCACAAGAGTAACGCGAGACGCTTGCGTGGTTTGAATAGCTCAAGGATAGGACGCGAAACGCATGCAGCATATTGAGATGAAGCTACTTACCCCACGAAGGGTCTCTGTTTGACTCGTCAGGCTCCGCGACTGATGTCGACGCTACGCTAGGCACAGGTGAAGCCACAGATGTTCTCGAAGTAACCGAAGGCGAATTACTGGGATTGATGGTAATTGGGCGAACAACAGGCTGTACTGGGGGCTGTGCTGGAGGCTGTGACGATGCCTGATTAGCACCATTGACCGCTCGCGTTTCAAGCAATTGCTCCGCTCTAAAGACGTCATCGAAGCGAGTGCGTCGGAAGTTGATCAGTGTGTTGAACCCAGCGTATGCCGGTGTAGTCTCAAGAAGGGTAATGCGGCTAGCCTTGAGCAAGTTGTGCTTGAAGGGCTCGAAGTTTAAAAGATAACCTGCGTCGTGACAGCCACCGAAGATGATGTGCCGACAGGTAGGATTGTCAATAAAGACGCGAAGCGCTTCTGTGATGACCAGTCAGCGTGTGCGGCACCTAGCAGGAGCATGGCGAATGGTACCCTTAATCTTGTGGTCGGCCCTTTCCTTGCCGTGACCAACGTCGACGATACTAAACAAAGGCTGATTTACATTGAAGTGCTGGACAAAACTGCGTAAGTCCGATGGGGAACGTAGAAGACCGACAGAGGCCAGTTTGATTGCGAGTTTATCGAGACTTAGATAAATCTGGACCACAACGGGCCAGTTGTTTGAGTTGCTGTACAGCGAGGCGATGTGATCGCGAATCGCATGATACAAGCGAGAGGCGGCTTCTGAACCGCCATCACCATTAGCAGCTTGGAGTAGAGCATTTTGAAACTATACGAAGGATTTTAGCAGCTGGTTCAAGATGTAGATGCCAGCGGAACAACAACGGGCGCTAGGATAAGTAGATGGTCTGTGAATGACTGCCGCCATGGGTAAGGGGGCGAAGTAGCAGGGAAGCCCCAGGCATTTAGTCGACCAAAAGCAAGTGAGACGGCAAAGTCAATGATGGGAATTTACTTACAATAGCCCCATCTCCATCAATTAGTGCCAATACAAAGGAACCCGCATCCTGTTTGGAGCATGAGCAGGCAACTACGCGAGGCTGACATGGCAACGTACCAGCTGACGCTCGCAGTCGGCCACGAGGGCCAACTTCTCTTCAAGCGTCTTTTGATAGTTTCTGCGGTTATCTCTTTCACTCAAGTAGTCATTCTTCAAGTCGGAATACTGGTCTGACAAAGCCTCGTATCTGGCTACAAGCTCCTGTTGCTCAGCTCTTAGTAAGGAAGATGTAATGGTGGGGACGTAGACACGCGGCCGGGCGATGGCGCGACATACTTACGCTAACAAACTGCTCTCTCGCTTCGTCCGATGCGCGGAATCTCAGCATCTGCTCCTTGAAGCTGCTGTAGTGGATTGGTTCAGACATTCTGGCGCGCACCTAGGATCGTCGTGGTCGATGGCGGTTCAGAATGGGAAGGCAGCACTGTTCAGGCGTGCCCTTGGGAGGTGAGTGGCAGTAACGCAAGGGGGACTAGGGCGTTCAGTCAGCCCCATTGACAGACAGAGCCTCGCTTTGCTTGCCCGTGCTGTGTCGAACCGACAACCACTGGTTTGAGGTCAAGGCGCTGGATAATAAACACTTGAGACACAAGACAGATGCGACGCTGGTGTTTGTACGTGGACGTAAGCGCCCATCTATTCCCCGGGCGTGGTGTAACGTACCTCTCAGCATGGCGCAGTCATTTTCACGCGCAAGGGCGGCTGCAGTGCGCCGTGAGCAGAGGCGTAGGCGAGCCTACTTATTTACTTATCGTCCAACGCACACCCCGAGTGTCAGCAGAGACGCTCATGGCCGTCTACTGCCCCTCGTCGAGTTGCCCCGCTACAGCCATTGTTATTGAGTGCTGGTAAAATTGTCTTGGGTTGATTGTTTGGGGTTTGCCATGTACCCGACAAGGTGTTGACGCCGCAGCAAGGAACCGGCTGCATGAATTACTAACCGCTCGTGTTGCTATTCATGGCATAGAATGTGCTGAGCGTGCCTCGTAGATCCGACATGCATGCGCGTGTTCAAACCGTGTTGAATTCTGGAACGCAACATGTCGTCGCATTGCTCGCTTTCCTATGCACCTACTGGTATACATTGGTAAGTTTCGTTAGTTCGTTTTCTTACTGTATAGTATTTCGAAAACAGTACATGCCTACGCTGATCATCATTTTCTTTCCTTTCAGGCTTGTATCTAATAAATCCTATTAGAAGAAGATATAGATCTATTAATACCCTAGTAGATACCTATGCTTATAGACTTACTCTCACCCTTACTCCTGTTATACGGCCCTTTACGTGTTATTAGTAATCCCTCTAGTACCCGAGTATAGTTTATTTTATCCTAGATCCGATTAGCTAAACAAAATCGACTAACAAAACTTACCCATTTATACCAGTCATCGGTATCGTCCCACGTCCTCACCCACCAATGTTCCCCGCAATGACGCCAACTACCTATCATGAAGCTCACCAGGAGCCACCAGGAGCCACCAGACTTGCATACAATGATAGTACATGGGGCAATGTGCCGCTGCCTGAAATACATATAAGTATGCCTGGGATTGAGCTGTTGCACGCTTATCGCATGAGCAACTGAATGCTGTGCGTCTATTTTCGACGTCTATACATAGCTTCCAACAGCTCCCCAAACATCATCTTTACATCTCCATTGCCCTTCGTCGCTACACATCCACAATGGCGACAGCCAAGAAAGCACGTACTCACCCGCCCTACGAACTACTGTACTGGCCAGGTATTCCTGGGCGTGGCGAGTTCATACGACTGGCCTTTGAGGCAGCAGGTGTCTCTTACAAGGACCCCGCCAACGAGCCTGATGGACGTACGCATACTCTCCAACACCTCATTTTGTAGTCCAGGCTAACATTGTTTTGGAACAGCGGGTGCGAAAGTCGTCGCTTCCTTGACCTCGGGCGCAGATGGCAACCCACCCGTTTTCGCCCCACCCGCGCTCAAGGTGCCTGGCGAAGGCAAGGATGGCGCACCTCTGCTCATCTACCAGACCCCAGCCATCCTCTCATATCTCGGTGACAGGCTAGGTCTCGCTGGCGAAGATGAGGTGGACAAGATGACCGCCTTGTCCCACACCCTGACCGCCCTGGATCTCAACAACGAAACTCACGACACCCACCATCCCGTGGCCGTGGCCCAGTACTATGAAGACCAAAAGGATGAGGCTCTCAAAAAGGCCACAGACTTTCGCGAGAACCGCATTCCAAAGTTCTTCTCTTTCTTCGAGCGCGTCTTGAAAGCTAATGAGGCCCAAGGAGAGGGCAAGTTTCTTGTTGGCAGCAAACTAACCTATGCCGATACCACCCTCTGGCACGTCCTGAGCGGCCTCAAGTTCGCCTACCCCAATGAGCTCAAAGTGAGAGAGAAGGACTATCCGTTGCTGTTTGGTTCCTTTTACGAAAGCGTGGCGCAGGCCAAGGGTGTCAAGGAGTACCTAGAGAGTGATAGAAGGCTGCCGTTTAGCATGGGAATCTTTAGACATTACCCGGAGCTTGACCGGTCTTAAACACACCAGTCACTGCCAAAGCACAGCCATCACACTAAAGAAAATCAATTGCAGTGGTATCTTGAAGAGGCGCCCATTACAGGCTCATGTCATCTCATTCACATTCCTTTTTGATGCCGGTACATGATGCATATCCGAAGCCCTGCCGTACTCCTGAACCATGTAGATATAACGAGACCTCACCCAACAACCCGTCTACACTTAGTAGTCGGTCTGCTGGCTCTGGGGGAACTCGAAGTTGACACCCTTGCCAGTGAGGCGCTTGTAGACCTCGCTGTAGGTGTCGAGCCTGTAGTCGACACCACCGCGCTCCTTCTCGTCGAGAACAACCTTAAGGATCTTGCTGCCGTCCTCACGGGTACGGAGACGCTTGCCAACAATCTCGACAGGGTAGACAAGATCGGTCAGGATGGCGTCATGGACAGCAGTGAGAGTTCGCGACTGAGGACGCTTCTGGGTCTGAGAAGTGCGGGAGCGGTTGGAACGCTTGGGGCGGGGAAGGATACGGCGCGAAGCAACGATCAGGACGTGGCGGTCAGAGAACTTCTTCTCGAGCTCACGGGTGAGGCTGAATACTGTCAATACAAGTCTTGGTAGGGTTTGTCGTGAAAAGCATACCGCTGCTGGGCCTTGTGCCAGTTGGAGAGAAGGGGAACTGGGACGAAGATGACAATAGCCTTGCGTCCGTGGCCAACCTCGATCTAAGAATCCTGGTGTCAGCGTATTGTTGCTGCCCAGTGCCCACCGCCTCTTCAGATTGTAGGGTATGGGTGTAGGTGCGTGTGCTGGCGACGCTCGAGAGCGCATCGTCGACGGGTTCGGGTCTATCATACCTCGCGAGCAGAGACAAACTGCAGAGGGCGCAGAGAAGCCTTCAGGTCAGGGACATTGTTCTCGAGGTCAGTCAACGCCTGTCGCATATGTTAGCAATGCTGCCGTCGGTGCGCACAATTGAGCAGGGTCACTTGCGCTGGCGATGCTGGTCTCGATCTCAGAGGGGTTTTGCCTGGAAGGGCTGTTGGGCGCGATCTTGTTCAGCGAGTTGGCGGACATTTTGACGGCTTGATGTCTGGTCGGAGTCGTTGAAAGTTCGTGATGTCGACTTCCGATTTTCAGAGCAGGAGCGTGGGTTGCAAGCGAGGCGCTAGTCTACTTTAGCGCCAACCACTGCCGGCGGAAGGAGCGATGCGACCAGACCCACACAGGCACCGCCAAGATATTCAGAGTTTACGGTTATTGGCTTCAATTGATACTATGTATCTTTTCCTTCAGTTCCCACCATCTCTAAAATTTCGATTCCGCGTTGCGCAAAAGCCCTTTATTACATTGCTGTCCTAGACTCCCTCGTCTACTCCTTAGACTTGTATATCGGAATCACCCAATACAATACCCCATTCATTATCGCCGTCGTCATTGGTCCTACCCAATGAATGTAATGATAATCAAAGCGATCTAAAACACTATTAGCTGGAGGCAATAGCAGTGGGAACCGAGAATAATTACTCGTTGCAACCATAAGACCAAGGCACCGCGCTGGATTGCATGCTGATTACTATTAGATGATATGAACTTCATCTCACATCTCGATAGAGCAAACTTACAAGCTCCACTATATCCAGGCCGTACTATTGATGAGACGAATGTACACACAGTCTGTGTCAGACCAACCTTTTGGCACTTTCAGCTCTGCACCAACAAACCATAAATGAACGAGAAAGGTACATACCAGGATTGGCGACAAAGCTGGCCCAAAGACTTCTCTCTGCCTGGGATCAAGACCCACTCCAAATGCAACGAATATCAATCCAAACGATGTCATGGTCTCCAAAACATATCTGCACAGTCAACAATTGCAAAGAAAATCATGGCTTCCAAACTCACGCTTCGCCTGGCGTGACGAGATCAGTGTTAATGTAGCATCCCGGTATAGGCGGAATATCATGCGGTCTCATCCCCAAGCTCGCCCGGAGCAGAGCGCCAGCCACCACAGCTCCAGCGCTCTGGAACACAATATACAGCAGCGTCCTAGGAAAGATGGAAAGCCCCGCTGTAAAAGTCGCCATGGAAATCGTCGGGTTGAAATGCGCTCCAGATACCGGCCCAGCCCCAAAAATGAAGAGCGCGATCAGCGTCCCAGTCACAATGCTCCCAAACGCAGCTGGCGCAACAGGTCCCAACGCCGTCGCTGTAACGAGAGAACCAAGACCAACGGAAGCGAGACCGGAGAGGTAGGTTTGCAGACATGTTCCTACACCTTCGATGAATGATTCTTTCCATAGCTCTATGTCCGCAAATGCGCGGGAAGAAAACGACTGGCGCCATGAAAATACTGCTGCTGCGTCTGGAAGTAGGTTGGTAGAGGCGTCATCTGCTGGTACGGTAAACTCTTGGTTGCCGCCAATTCTCCCAGCAAACGGTCTTGAAGCTATAGCTAGATTCTTTTTTGGCTTTTTCCTCTGACGCATCCCAGTATGCACGGGAGAAGCTTCAACGTCGGCCATGTTGCTCGATTTCATTCCAGTTGCAGGTTTGATGGGAAAAGTGAAGCTTTGCTCGTTTTCATGTGCTCCATATATTGGAGAGAGCCATTGTCGGAGATGCAGTCAATGGGATAAACAACGCTATCTCCGCTATCTAACTAAGAAAGGCTTCTCATAATACCTGAATAAGCAATCAAGTACTTTTTGCTTATGCGACTATTATGTGGCTAGGCAAAGTTGTGGTTTGACTGATGTGTAAGCTGCTTACTATGCTGATCGAGGCCGCTAAGTGCAAGTACACTGAGTCAGTACCTCAAAAGTCCATTTGTGCCACGATATATTGGCTGCGTATGGGGATATATGCTGCAAATATGCGACATAGAGTAATTCGAGAATTCCAAGATCTTGTTGCGGATTTCGTCTGTTTTCATGATACATGTCACCACCAGCTGCGCCAACGGAACAGACAAAAAGAAACGATCACCAAAACAAATCTGGTATATACGTTGTCACGATACTGCTGCAAGAGCATTCTATATTTCACCAATCTTTCCGAGGCATTGGTATGTCAGGTGTCAAGCATAAGCTTCACTAATCGTTAATCCAGTGATTTGACAAAGATCACAACACAAACATGATATAGACTGGATGCGCTTCCTCACAACAATCATTCAAGATTCTAAGAACAAGATATCATTTCGGTGACACATGTCATATACTCATACTCATAGGACGGCTACAGCGATTACTCGTAACAAACTCAACAGGAAGCCTAATAAAACGCCTCGCTGAACAGTGGATGGGGAGTGCCGTTTTCATATCGACACGTACATAGAGAGTCATACTCTGCAGTCAGATTGAACGACAGAGTTTTGAACAAGGATGGTGCGCTATCCTCCATCTTCATTCGGCCCCTTGGCAAACATCTACACCGTACTGGTGTTCTACGTAGATGCCACCATAGACTACCAATGGCAGACCAATGGACCGATTAAACGCGGGAGTTCTTGCTAGGGTAACGTTAGTATATTTGCGATTTGTGTTGTCAGACTGTAAACAAAAAACTTACGCTGCTGCCGCGCGGCGTCTCAGGCGGAGCAACATAATAATGCCGAGAATGCCAGTTGCAAACCAGGTGATCAATGACAAGAAAGAAAAAGCCTGGGCAGCACGCCATTGGCCGCAGGTGTCGCCGCGTCTGAGTGACAGACCGCCCCACGCCCATGGGCTACCACAGTTGGCGTCGTTGAACCAGTCGACGAGGAGGCCGAAGACGGCAGCCCAACCTGCTGTGAAGACTAAAAACATCGCTGTTAGCATACCATCAAGATGCAACGAGAGAGGCAAGATGGACTTACTGAAATCGGAAATAAATCCCTTCATAGCAAACGTCGTGGGAATCGCCCAAATAACAGCAAAGATGATGGAAAGAGACGACCACACAAGGGCAAAGATCAATCGACCAAGAGGGTCCCGGTCATCATCGTCCCTCCAGCGGGCAGGATCCCAACGGTCACGCCAACGGGCGCTGTCCCATCGGTCATCGTCATCCCAGCGGTCACGACGGTCGCGGCGACCACGCGGTCCACGATCTGGGTTTTCAATCTTGTAGACAAAGTAGGCTGTCAGGCCAAGAACGATGGCTGCAAATACGAACTGTGAAACTCGCAGGACGAGCGAGATGATGCGTGAGAAAATCATGCTGGTAGGCAGTAGATGCTCAAGGCCGGAGTTGTAAGAGAGAAGATTGAGACGGGTGTGGAGATGCTGTTGTTCTGGTGTTTTCGCACTTTGGGTACGGTATACTTATATGTATACGATCGTCTTCATCATGCCCTGTTTTTTTGGCAGAGAGCAATAAGGTCAGACGTCAGCCACGTCTGTTGCGCAGTCATCCGAGGGCACCGTGACCAAAACGTCTTCATACTTACCATCACTACGGGTTGTGCCCTCATACTTGCTCAGCCATGCAAAAACTCTTGGGTGTATCTTGGCGATGTGGCGAGACTCCTACGACTGTGACGATCGTTGGGTTTTGGTAAAGTTCTTGGCGAGTGAGATCACTTGGGCTTTTTTCATTGGGCATATCTGACGCGACGCGTGGCGCAGGGTTTAGAACTTGGCGTACATGTGGAGAGTAAAGTACCTAAATTCTTACTTTATGATTGGCGATGCCTTTACGGGTAGAGTTTGGATGTTGTGCTGAGCGCCCAAGTCTTGGCCAGGTGTATATCCGGTGTTGGCAATTGTATGGTACATACTCGAGGGATGGTAAGATATCCGAAGATTCACAAATTCGACCGACTTCAGTAAGGTTTACAAACTAACCACTGGTAGACTTGCAAGGGAATGACAGTGTGTGCGATCTTCGTTGGAGATGTTGTTATGACCAAGTCACTCGGCTTGTCGATCACAAATGCGACAAGGACTTTCCTAGGCGCATGGTAACTAAGCCCCCTCACTTCCAACTTTAAGCATAACTGTGGTCACCGAATCAGCTTACTTGACAGATGCGAGCTTCCGCTGCAACCATGTCGATACCAGGGCTCTCATGAAGCGTCCCCTCTTCATGACGTCTGTTGAGAGAGATCTGGGAATGTCGTGTATCCAGTACAGCAAAACGGGTATGGTCATTGCGACCCGCAGGGATGCGACAATGTTCCAAAAAAGGACCGTTGTGGTCCCAAACAAGAAGTACTCTGCATGGTGGTGTGGTTGTCGTATATTTTGGATGTGGGGCTACCCAAGAAGCGGTAGTTTCTCCTACTACTACTACCCCGCTACGAAGCGAGCACGTGCTAGTGAATACCTAAGCCACCCATTCTCGGTCCGGGCAGGGAGGCTTTTTCCTTCTGCCACATCATCCATTATGGGGTTATATCCGGAACAGTATGATTCATGGATATAAAGTCTTTTGTTGTTTCATATATCGATCTCTTGAGCCAATGAAGCGTTCGTCTCGCCTTGTTCTTTGCATAAATCTTCGCTTGGACCAGCCACGAAGTGCATAGCCTCGAAATACAATGTAAATCTCTGATGATTTCCAAAAGACATGGCCGATCGTTGTTCGGCTCAATTTTGAGGGCCAACAAGCAAGGGAGGACAGGGTCTCATCGCCCCAAGACTTACGTGGGTCCAACTACTGAGCTTGACCAAAGCGTGCTTGAGATATGCTATACCAGTAGCTGGCTTGTCGTGTTCATTTCAAGTCATAATTCAATAAGAATCCCAAGATATTTCACTAGAGACCTGAGTTCCCTTTGTTCCTCGCAGCTGGGAGACGTTGAACCCGCAGATATGAACAAGTTCATTTTTCATTTGAAGAAAGGTCAATAAATCCAAATCCAAATACCTGCTTTTGTAAACACTTGAACCCCTACCCCCGTGATCCCAAATCATTGGAAGCCTGGATGAAACCCGTCACACTCTTCTAAATGCTTGATTTCTTTTATGCGAAGACGGTCCTCCAACTTACCAAACTACTCCCAAAAATATCAGCACACTTACCGACATCCGTATTGTGAAAGACGTCAATCTCACACTAGAAACTAACTTTCAGACAATAGAACTCCCATAATGACTCGGTTACCTCTATGACGTAATCGCGTAGTCTCAGAAACACAGCACAAAATCCTCTCACTTCCCACCTGCAAGAAGTCACCAATGAGTAGAGAAACGGACTCAACCCGTTTTGCCATAAACCTACACTACGTAACCCTACAGCAGAATCCATAAAATCCCCCCAAATTAAACTATTGTCGACAGCACCCGCGGTTGCTCAAGCCGGTATTGACTCGACATGGTGTCACAAGTTAAAGGAGATCATTTGCCCAGATACGTGACAATGTTATGATGCAATACTTTGGAGTAAGACTGCATGTAGCACATGCACCAAATTTCCAGTCTCGAGAGAAACAGGGGGCAGATATAATTTTAGAGTCTATCCCAGTACACACAGGATCAAAACTCTGCTTTTTCGTGTATTTTGTCACCTGTAAAAATACGACTTCATCCTTTCTTGTAAAACGACAAATACGTTTGAATCATTAGAACACTGTTCCTGTGTTTCGTCTGGTTAAGAACAAAATTTATACAAATTTATGTAATCATTTGCTGTGTCCCTTTTTGCTTCTCCACTCCATTTCAGCGCAACACATCTATCATGATGCGCAGGATGGTCAAACTGATAAGTACTCTGAATACACATGTCGTTCGCTCAGTTGAGATAGGATGCAAGATAGCCATCACAAGTACCGTATAAATCTCAGCAATATGTATACCGAGAACACAACGTCTTGATTAACCCTAATGCGCAACATCCCATCCTAAACGCCATGCAATATGCAATGCAAAACCACCTCTAATAACCTCTCTCTCATCTCCCATTCCCATGCGTATCCATACAAAAGCCCTGCAAAAACATTTCTACAAGCACATCATAAAACCTCACCCGCCATGTACGATCCCACTCAACCCAACCACACCCACCAAAACAGCAGTATAACAGCCGCAAAAAACCCAACCCAAGCCTTCCAGCCCACCCCCGTTTTCTCCGCCATCCGCAGCATACGCGTCATAGTTCCCTTGATCTTATACCTCGAATTTTCAAACTGATCGTTCATCTTCTCCGCCAGAGACGTGGAATCGCGGATTTCGTCGCCGATGAGATGTGTCAACTATCCTTTATTAGCCAAAAAAGCTCCCTCAAATAAGCGCTCCCCCCTTTCCCTCCGCGACCAGGAAAAGAGGAAGAGAGGGAAGAGAGGGAAGAGGGAAAACATACATCCTTCAACATCCTAACCTTACTCGTCAACACACCAACATGCTCATCGTTCTGACTCTCCAGCTCATCCAGCACAGCCGCCGAATACTGGCCTCGCGAATTCGGCGTCGCACTCCGGAACATGGCGTCGTCGTTCCCTCGACTCCCACCTAGACCGTATCCACCGCTGCTACCACCAGGGTACAAATTCCCATTACTTGCGCTGCTGCCGGGGTATGCGCCGAACCCCGGGCTACCGTTTGGCGATGTAGGCGCAGTGTAGGCGTAGCCGCCACCGCCGCTGTAGGGCGAGGCGCGGGCTTTGTTTTTGGATTTTGAGGGTGAAGCGCTGCGGTTGTAGGAGGAGAAGAGGTCGTCGCGGGCGTCTTGGCGGCTGAAGCGGTTCGACATTGTGTGTTCTGCGCCGCAGTTGGGGCGTGTGTGGGTTGGTTGTGTTGCGCTTCCCTTCCCCCTTTTTTCTCAATAGCTAGATGGTGTGTTTCAATGCCCTGGTCCTTGGGTATGCGGTCGTGCAGCCACCGACGTGTGTGGATGTGGGTATGTTCGCGGGCGCTATATATAGACCATGGATTATGGTTCTGTTCAATGTGGAATTTGGGTCGAATCAGGCAACGGCCGTTTGCGCATCGGATGTCATGGACAGTTGTCGCGGCGGGTGGTGGACAGTTTTCGGGTTTGAAGGATTGGAGGGAGGGATTCCCTCGGAGCTTAGGACGGCTTGGGTAGTACTAACGCCGGTCCTGCCACGATTTGGTTCCCCAAGATGTTTAGGAACACGTTGGCGACAATCCAATGGCTGTGAGTAGTCGCACGTGTTCGGTTATTTGAGTGGCGTAAGTAGGAGATCTCATAAATAGCAGCAAATACAAAGGATGACCCAAGGCATGGGTGCCTAGAATCACAATCTCATCATCATGAATGTCTTTAGCATTTCCAACCTAGGGTTGCTATCTAGATGCAAAACCCACAGTCTAGGAAACACACAGGGAATACAAGTGATAAAACCCCAAGCCCCCCTCCAACTTATCTGTACAAGTACAAAGAATTCATCCGTTACATATCTGCATTCTTCGTTCCAAAGCGTAAAGTGCAGGCTTTTATATAAGTGGCACCGAAACATGACGAGACATTGCAAGAATGCGCGTGTTGAATGGTCAGATGCAGGCATACTTCGTAACGCCACATTGACCCATATCTCCCCAGTCCAGCACCGGAGCCTTGGTTAAAAGGCAAGCTCAAATCTAGTTCTTGAGGCCGATCTTGTTGAGCAGGCTGCCTGATTGTCCGCCAATCAAGGCCTTGTTGTCAAAAACCTTGAGCAAGCTCTTCCATACCTGCCCGGGCTCTTGGCTTGCGTCGATGGGCTTCCAAATACCCGTCTTCTGGTAGTATGCGACGACTGGCGCAGTCTGGGCGTGATAGGTTGCAAGACGCTTCTTGAGAGTTTCCGCGTTGTCATCGGAGCGCTGAATGAGCGGCTCACCGGTGATGTCGTCGGTCATGGGCGTCTTGGGTGGGTTGAAGATCTTGTGGTAGGAACGGCCAGACGCGGGGTGAACAAGGCGGCCGGTGATACGCGAGACGAGCAGACCGTCGTCGATTTGCAGTTCAACTGCATGTTGAAGGGGCTTCTGGGTTGCGGCAAGCATGCCGTCGAGCTTCTCAGCTTGGGTAACTGTTCGTGGGAAACCGTCGAGAATGAAGCTGTTCATAATGGCCTTAGTATACGTTTGCAATGGATGCTTCGATTGAACATCAGGGCAAAACCTACCCCTTGGCGCACTCCTGGTTGCTCTCAAGTTCGGTCTTGATCATGTTGATCATGATCTCGTCGCTAACCAGGCCACCGGCATCCATGATCTTCTTCGCTTCCCGGCCGAGGGCTGTCTTCGCTGCGACTTGCGCGCGCAGCATGTCTCCAGTAGCCTATATGTTGTCAGCGTCTTATTCTTTCTTTGTGCCACGCAGCATATGATGCAGTATATGATGCATAACGTACAAGATGGCATGCGCAGAACTTCTCCTTAATTCGCGGTGCTTGTGTGCCCTTGCCTATGCTCTGTGTAAGCCACATGCCACATTTTGACTATCCTCGGCACGTCATCTTACCAGCACCTGGTGGTCCCATGAGGATCATCCTTATGCTTTCTTGCGATGACGATTGACCGCCATGGCCAGACAACTTGTTCTCCAGCTCAGCGATGCGCTTCTCGAGGCGGTTGACGGTGCTCTTAAGGTCATCGACCACGGTATCTGTCAAGGGTGCCATTGCGCCGGGTTGTGAAGAAAATTGTCGTGATGGAATGAAGGGAAAAGGAGGGGACGAGGAGGGCGAGGAAGACACGCGATCCGGAGAGAATAAAGCACGGCTAGTCGCGCAATGGCAATGGACAGTCGCAAGTATGGGTGAGGTGGAGTTCAAGGTCGCTCGTCGCTCGGTTGTTGGCAGGTCCAAGCTTCTGTACGGGAAAATGCTCCCTTCTGCCCGATCCTCGGTGCCGTCACATTCTTAGCCCTTGGCCGGGTGATGTCAGTTGGGAAACGTGACCATGTACCTAGGCCGACAGAGCTCGGCACGGTTTCAGCAGGAAAATGCACATGCTTTCATCATAATAGCCCACTGCACCATGCGCGGTATCCGCTCGCCCTATGCTGCACCTGAAAGCCCGCCGCATCAGCGGACGGTGAACATGCGGGGTCACCCAATAGCACACAAACAGCACAGGTTGTAGTATCGCTGTAAATCTGAAGAGAAAAGAGCGATATCACTATATACGTTTGCACATGCTTCTCAGTGCGCACAACACCACTAGTATTCGCTGCCAAGTATCTTCTTCAGCCCCTTCATCTCCACCTCATATTTCTCCACCTTGCTCTGGCTAGTCATCAGCTTCGCCAACAAGTAAGTCACCCTCCCTGCGGTTTGTGCTGGCTGATTTCTCAGCTGGCTCAGCAGCAGCAACTCATTTTCGCACTTGTCAATCGTCGCACTCTCGATCTTGGTCAGATGGGTCAAAATAGCCAAGTCTAGGCGGCTCTTGAGCACCTTGTCTTCGGTCAAGCGCTTAAATGCCGGAAGATACACAGGTTTGCCAGGTCCGATAATGGAAGGCCTGCCATTTGCGCCAGAATCAATCGTGATGAGTTCTGCTTGTTCGAGAGCCCGAAGAACAGATTCGCCACCAGTCTTGAGCATGTCGTCGACAAGAATCTCGTTGTAGCGTAGAGACCCCTTTTGTGCGAGCTCCTTGATCAGAAACCAGGCCTGCTCAGCGTTCCAGTGTCGGCTTCCATTCTCATCTTCTGCGCCAAAGATGTACATCTTGAGGATTTCAGACGCCGACTGGTCAATGATCTCATGCACTGCTTTAGTGGGTGTCTCGCCAGTCTTGATGCGCCGTGACAGGAACTCTAGATCAGTAAGCCGCCCACCCAACAAGCCGATGCAGGTGTCGAGCTCTCCAAGATCATTGCGATGCTCTGAAGGAAGTTTCTTGGGTGATCCGTCCTTGGGCATGGGGTCATCGTCGACATCTGCATCAAGGTGGGTTATTACAAAGCGCTTCGCTACTTCTGGACTGCAGTCCGAAAGCGAGATTTGACGGAACATTCGATCGGGCAAAGCTTTGGACAATGACTTGTTGTACGCAACATCGTTTGTCAGGAAAATCACATGAGCAGTATTTGTTGTCGTGAGTTGGGCTGCCCATTCTGCAATCTTGTCGTAGACAATACCGCCTTCTTGGCTCTTGTGCAGAAAGTTGTCAATCACCACCACAGGACGGCGTTCTGGATGTGCCTCAAGCCATTCATCGTCTGGCAGGTGCGCGTCCTTGTCGTTCTTGTGACGGGTATCCAAAGCGATCTGCCTAAGAGCCAAAGTCGTAGTGTTCCAAATCTTGCTGAGCTGAGAATCGAGGGTTTCGGAAAAGCCGGTCTTGACGCCTGTGGCACCTTGTGCAGCCATATCAATCATACCACTGATGCTGTTCATCCAGCTAAACACGGGCCTGTAGCCAACGGACAAAGCAGCAGTGTTGATGGTAGCGCTTTCTCCTCGGGCTTCTTGAATAGGTTTGCAATCAATGACGAGTTTCACCTTTTTATCATGTAGTGCCTGATCCACCACTAGCTCACGCTTGCCAGAGCCACGGGGACCTCGCACGATAATGAAGGTATCAGCAGTCTCCATCAGCCAGGTCTGAATCTGCTCAATGTTGTCCTTTCGGTCGTCCCAGATAGCATCCATACCATCGTCATCGTTGCGTTTCTTTCCTCCGTTGATGATGTCTGTAGCGTAACCTTTGATCCATTGATACAACTTGTTATCTTGTATGTGGAAATTTCGTGTGATGTGAGCCTTGACAAAGAATGTCCGAATGCTGTAAATTTCTTGTTAGATTGGAGCAGGACGGAATAGCAATAACACTTACGGATCAAAAACGACAGCAACAAAACCTGCAATGAGTGCAGCCACAATAGGTATGACGATACGCGGATGGTTGAAGATCCAGTCTCTGATATAGCGGGGCTTGATCTTTTGCTCATACTTGAGCCTCAAGATTGTGCCTTTCTTTCCACCCCCCTCGGCTTCCGACACGAGATATCCATGCATGCAGTTTCTTGCCATAATGGCTTTCCCTATACTAGCATAGTCCAAATAGGCAAACTTTGGAAGAACTTTGGAGTCTGGAGGTTGCATGACAATGTCACTCAGCTTTCCGTAGGGCCTGAAGAATTGGAAGAGTTGCTCTTGGCTCAGCTCAGCTGCTTCAGTAGCAGGCGCTCCAGGCTCACCAGACACAAACTCAACGCGTAAACGAGTGGCAGGTAGACGCATCAGGTCTTCCACCCAAGGTCTTCCCTTGACTGCTTTTGCATGCATTTGATTCCACGGGCTCCACCATGGCTTCACAGGCTCGTCTTCCAAGTACTGTTGCAAGGTCTTTTCGATCTCGGAGGTTGACGCACTTCCATCATGAGTGAACTTGACAAACGCCCCACCTTCCCGCATACGAGGGAGCACTTCAGTACCGGTAATTTGCAGATTCCGCTTGGCTTTTGCTCTTTCAATGACGGTTTTTGGGTCTGTACCGGATGCGGTGGGACTAATCAGCCGATTTAAGATGCGCGGCATAGGAAGCCCCAGTATTTTGCGTATCTGGATAGGAAAGACATTGTTAAAGAAGAGGATGCCCTCGTTAGGGCCAGCACTGATGTGGCCAGTGTTGTCCTCACCAGCCTGTAGGCCAGTGAGGTGTTGGGATGAACTAGAAGACGGCCTGTGTAAGCCTATCCTTGATGACCCCCATGTTGCTGCGATCCGTGGGGACACTGTCCTGATGGTTCATTAGCACTTTCATAATGATCGCCTGCTAGGATCAAATTTCTTCAATCTACCTTATTGGTCCATGCAATGGACGACAGCCAGCATGACGCAAGCCTGGGCGAGGTAACATCTTTGCAATTGAATTGTTACCAGGCCATAGCGAGGGATGGCTCACAAGGAGATCTGAGGGGTCGAGTAATGTTTGCTGCCTGTTGTTCTACCGAGTCTGGTGATGGAGGGCGGGTGACGTCACCTACCGAATCTTGGCAGCTCCATCAAAAGATTGAAATGGTTGCCAACAATATTTACAATCCATCACGGGTAGAAATGAACTATTCTGAATACGCGCTTGCTCCGTATCCGTCATATTTTATTCAATCGGGTGTGTGGGCTTGCCGGCAAAATCATTAATCATCAGTAGCGTTGTAGCAAAAGTCAAAATCTTTTTGTACCCACAAAAGGTATCCTGCATACCAATAATACTTCTTAGCTTGAACCCTAATACTGGAGGCGTCTTTATTTATTTTTTTAGTACGGATGCGTAGTTCTAGGACATCATATCGCAATATCTTAATTCCCCTGCTGTTCAGCATAGTGAGGAAATACGGTTCCAGATATCCAATCCACGAGGGATCTGGGATAGACACTTGACAAAGTAACGAGGTAACTTTGAGATTCGCGATCAAGGCGTCGTTGTCTTGAACATGGGTGTCTACAAAGGCCTAGTTAAGAAACCAGCGACTTGACGAATTCTAACGGCGCAGGTCCAATTTTCTTCAAAGTGAAGAAAGTTGTTAAACCAACAATGCCTATCCTGACAACAAGCGCTGCTGTGACAGCCTGTCTGATAATGGGATAGTATCCCTCCAGCATAGAATTGACAGCAGCACCTCTGGCCATAATCTTGCTTCTGCCGCTCTGTCCCCACGTCCTTCCCACGCCCAACCCCGCTATACCCACTTCCCCTGGCTTTACTTGTTCTTCCAACGAACCTACAGCTTCGCTACCTATTCCGGGAAGATCTTGTGTGGGACCCACGCTCGTGTTTGATATACTCGACACGGCTAAGCTCATTTCCACGGCTTTCTGTTTCCGGAAGCGATGCGACATTGCCCATAGTATCGCTCTGACATCCCAACTGGTAAAGGTTGGATATGTCCATAGCTCCAGTGCATTATGAGGAGGTATGTGCTCGAGAAAGTCGCTTACAACGCCGAGTGTCAAGCCCCAGAGTAACAGCGGTGGTTTGCGGTCTTTAGATCGCGAGGCAGGTCCTGCCAGGGCATCTCTTACATGGCTCAGCATACCCTGCGATTCTTCATCGATGGGTATAAAGTCTGGGATGGTCGCGCAATGTGTCGAGTTCGCGGGGACCAGTTGTATAGCTGCAAACATCATTCTGCTTAGCATGGCCTGCAGAAACCAACGCTTGATACCCAGTTCCGACTTTGCTAGACGTGCTGAGACATCGGCGTATTCGTGTGTGCGTAGTGCAGGCGAAAGGAGTGCGCGGATGGGAACCCAGTGGGAGGATGCTACTTCGGTAGGCTGCAGACGTTGTGGCGGGTAGAAGGGCGAGGTCAGAAGGTAGATGTAGGGACATAGAACCATAAGCCTATGGACCGGAATTAGCTTTGATACTCACAATATGTATTTGCCATCTGCCGTCGTAAGGCGAGGCTGAGCCTGAGTCTGCAGGGATTCAACGTACGGTACTTTACCCCAGCTCGTCGTAACGATGCGTTGAGGTAGGTTGCCCACGGCTATGGCATTGTCGGGGCTCAGATCAATACCGACTTCCTCAAGTGCTTCACGAGCAGCTGTGACTTGATCGTCGCTATCTTCGGGATCTCGCTTTCCACCAGGTAGTGCGACATGTCCATTCCACTTGTCACCAATCCTTGTAGCCCGCTTTATGAATAGTAGTTCGGGGTCACCATGCTTAACCCAATCCTGGTTGAAGAAGGCGCTCAAAGAGGACTCAAAGTCGAACTCGTCTGCTGGCTTTGCGACCGAGGAGCGTCTGCGTCGCTTCGGTAGAGGATTATCGGAGCTGTTGGGCCAATGTGCGTAACTGGGTTGTATGCGTAGGATCAGAGCTACCGAAGCCCGTTTCGGCAAATCTGGTGGACACGCGACGTCTGGATAGGGGTTGGCGTTGAGCTCAAGCAGTACAGATTGGAGGTGACTGACGAGGTCCTCGGTATTCAGAGCGTCTACCATGATGCTGTCGGAGTTGTGCTGTGTTGGCTATGTAAGCCGCGTTGTAAAGTCAGCTGTACGATGGAGTGGCCGGCACCCCGTTGTAACAAGTAACTACTTCTAGTGTTATCTCAGAGACTCCTGTATAGAAGAGAAAAGAATGTGAGATCACGATAGAAATCAGATGTAGTATCCGAGGTATATGGAACAAGACCTAACGCGCGTTATCGATAAAGTGAGAAAGGAGAGCCGAGACATGAGCAGTCCTTTGCCAATTCTGGTGATTGGCTGCATGGCTTCACCTTGAGTGAAAGCACTGGAAATCGCGACAAAAGCTCTTGGAGCATTGCTGACTCCATCTTGCGACACCGGCTACAACATTATAGCAGCGATAAAAGACGCGTGCTGGGGTAACCCAGCCGTGTTGGGCATGTAGTAGTTTGTAGAGCGGAGGAGCTTTGGCCAATCGGACCGGCGCTATGGAGGGGCAGCAAAATGAGGTCAGTCTTGAGCCCCGCGACGCCAAAAAAATCTCCACAGTCTCTTGCGCCACTGCTTTGTACCCCAGATCTGACTGTGAGCAGTCTGTAACCTTTCAATTGATTCGTAGATTCTCATAAAATCAGTCAATATGGGCGGCCAAAAGACAGGTGAGCAAGACTGATAATCAAATTCAAAAAAAATCATAACCATTAATGGGATGCCGCAGCCATTCTGTCCGTGTACGACAAGACCGGTCTCCTTGACCTGGCCAAGGGACTGCACGAATGCGGTGTCCGCCTACTTGCGTCTGGCGGTACAGCCAAGATGATCCGCCAGGCCAACTTCCCGGTTGAAGATGTCTCCGCCATTACCAAGGCGCCTGAAATGCTCGGTGGTCGCGTCAAGACGCTGCACCCTGCTGTTCACGGCGGCATTCTCGCACGCGACCTCGACTCGGATGATTCTGACCTCTCTGCAAACAGCATCGACAAGATTGACTTTGTCGTCTGCAACCTGTACCCCTTTTCTGAGACGGTCGCTCGTATCAACGTCACAATCCCAGAGGCAGTTGAGGAAATCGATATTGGAGGTGTGACTCTGCTGAGGGCTGCCGCAAAGAACCACGCCCGCGTCACTATCATCAGTGACCCCAACGACTACCACGACCTCCTCACCGAACTTAAGAAGAATGGCGAGGTCTCAGAGAACAGCAGGCAGCGTTATGCGCTGAAGGCCTTTGAGCAGACTTCCTCATACGATACCGCTATTTCCGAGTTCTTCAGGAAGAAGTACGCGGGCGACGGCGTCCAGTACCAAACCCTTCGATACGGTGCCAACCCTCACCAAAAACCCGCAACTGTCTCCATGGCAGAGAAGCCGCTGCCATTCAAGGTGCTCTGCGGTTCTCCAGGATACATCAACTTGCTCGATGCGCTCAATGCATGGCCGCTCGTGCAGGAGCTGACCAAGGCACTGAACTACCCAGCCGCCGCCAGCTTCAAGCACGTCTCGCCTGCCGGTGCAGCCATCGGAGTCCCACTTAGCGAGGTAGAGCGCAAGGTATACATGGTTGATGACATTGAGGGCATCGAGACTTCGGGACTGGCGCAGGCATATGCAAGAGCCCGTGGTGCCGACAGGATGTCGAGTTTTGGTGACATGATTGCTCTATCGGCCGAGGTTGACGTAAGTAGTTGTCGAATGATTGCTTTGACTCAACGACTAACGGAACACAGGTCCCAACAGCCAAGATCATTAGCCGTGAAGTTTCCGACGGTGTCATTGCTCCTGGCTACAGCGCCGAGGCCCTGGAGATCCTCAAGAAGAAGAAGGGTGGAAAGTACCTGGTTCTTCAGATGGACCCCGAATACGTTCCAGGCCTAGAAGAATCTAGGACCGTCTTCGGCATCACGCTCAAGCAGCACCGCAACGATGCCAAGATCCTTCCTTCTGACACATTCAACACAGTCATTGTGCCTAAGAACTCCCCTCCTCTGCCAGAGTCAGCTCAGCGCGATCTTACCGTCGCTACTATTGCTCTCAAGTACACTCAGTCAAACAGTGTATGCTATGCGCTCAATGGTCAGCTCATCGGTCTTGGAGCTGGTCAACAGTGTAAGTCTTGTTCAACTTCAAAACTACAGCAGTCGCTGACACATAACAGCACGTATCCACTGCACACGTCTTGCTGGTGACAAAGCCGATAACTGGTGGATGCGTTTCCACTCAAAGACGCTCAACCTCAACTTCAAGAAGGGCACCAAGCGCCCTTCCAAGTCCAATGCCATTGATCTCCTCTGCTCAGGTCTCGTCCCCGAGTCAGGTATTGAGCGCGAGGACTTTGAGGCGCACTTTGAGGAGGGCCATGTGCCCCAGCCTTTCACGGCCGAAGAACGCAAGGAATGGTTGTCGAAGATGGAGGACGTAGCAGTCAGCTCCGATGCCTTCTTCCCCTTTATCGACAACGTCTTCAGAGCGCACAGGAGTGGAGCCAAGTACATTGCTGCGCCCACAGGTAGCCAGAACGACGGCGCCGTTTTTGAGACAAGTGAGAAGTTGGGTATCACCTTTGTTGAGCAGCACATTAGGCTGTTCCACCACTAGGAAGATGACGGATGGGACTGCCGAAATGGCACGTGGCGATGGTGCTCATGTGAAATGACACGACAACGCAGTTGAGCTTTAGTGGGATGAACTTACGATACCTTTGAAAAGTGGTTATTGCAACATTTCCTCGCGATAAAACTTTTTTCTCTACTTATTCCAGTGCATTGAATACAAGGGTGTGATGAATGTCTGGCATTGTGAGCCTATCCAGGCCGATCCTTGTGCGTTTGTGGATTGGCGTCGTGTGGTGCAGTGAGGCGTGGCTGAAGGGCTGTTGCAAAGCAATATTGCTGGCCAACGTTCGACGCGCTAATGTTTGCTATTTGCTGCAAACGACAG